TATAAACGTTGTATTACTTATTATGACTTTCCTGTCGTTCAGATATTCATAGATCGTTTTTGGTCCGGCGTTCCGAATCCAAAATTTTCCAAAATCAAACTGAAAGTAAAAAGGATTGGATTAACAGATAGGTTGATGCTCTCGGAAAATGATAATCCAGTTTTTGCTTTAGCGATAGCATTTGATGAAAAACTAATTTTCTGGCGTTTTTAATTTTTTTAACAGAAAAACTTTTTTTTATCTCAACGCAAACCAACTTACTTACTAGGCAACATAAGTCTTGTGTCAATTCAGCTCCAAGTTTGGTCTTCAGTTGTTGTTCCTCATCATGAACTCCTCCTTCAATGTGCCAGGCTGTAATAACGTTTTTTTGAACCACAAAATGAGTTGCTGTAATTGCATATGAAACTTATGCTCTTGTGAAAATTGGAGATTAAATTTTGTAAAAAAAAGTTCAAGGCCGACATTTGAAAAAAAAACTATCAAACAGCTAGAAAAAACTAGAGTATTCTCAATTTTTGCACAGTTTCTGCAATGAGATAATCTCCAATAAGCAGATATTTTTTGGATGTATACTCCCAATTTTTTTAAAAGGTTAAAATGATTTCAAATTGACTAAACACACATCACATAGTTTTAAAACGTTTTAAAACATTATTAAAAAACATGTCATGACCTAGGTGGTTGCTTCAGGGAAACTTTGCCACTTTTCATCATAGTATATCAACAAACAAGAAAAAAAATTCAAGTTTAGTATTAAATGATCCATCTAAATTGGGTAACTTCAAAACATTTCCAGCTTTGTTAACTTTTTTTGCAGGTTATAAACGTTGTATTACTTATTATGACTTTCTTGTCATTCAAATGTTCATAGATCGTTTTTGTTCCGGCGTTCTGAAACCAAAATTTAACTAAATTAAAGTAAAAATGATTGGATTAACCGATAGGTTGATGCTCTCGGAAAATGATAATCCAGTTTTCGCTTAAGCGATAGCATTTGATGATAAACTAATTTTCTTGCGTTTTTAATTTTTAAAAAATATATATATTTTTTGTTTCAACGCAAACCAACTTACTTACTAGGAAACATAACTCTTGTGTCAACTCCGCTCCAAATTTGGTCTTCAGTTGCTGCTGCTCATCATGAACTCCTCCTCCAATGCGCCAGGCTGTAATAACGTTTTTTTGAACCACAAAATGATTTGCTGTAATTGCATATGAAACTTATGCTCTTGTGAAAATTGGAGATAAAATTTTGTAAAAAAATCATGGCCGACATTTAAAAAAAAAAGTTGTCAAAAACCTAGAAAAACTAGAGTGTTCCCGCTTTTTGCACAGTTTCTGCAATGAGACAATCTCCATTAAGCAGATATTTTTTAGATGTATACTCCCCAATTTGTTAAAAGGTTAAAATGATTTCAAAATGAATCAATACACATCACATAATTTTAAAGCGAATTAAAAAATTGTTAAAAAGATCATGACCTAGCTGGTTACGTCAGAAAAACTTCGCGACTTTTCATCATATTATATCAGCAAACAAGAAAAAAAAAGTTCCAACTTTAGTATTAAATGATCCATCTAAATTGGGTAACTTCAAAACATTTCTAGCTTTTTTTACTTTTTTTGCAAGTTATAAACGTTGTATTACTTATTATGATTTTCCTGTTGTTCAGATGCCCATGGATCGATTTTATTCTTGCGTTCTGAAACCAAAATTTTTTAAAATTCAAAGCTAAAGTAAAAATGATTGGATTAACAGATAGGTTGATGCTCTCGGAAAATGATAACCCAGTTTTTGCTTAAACAATAGCATTTGATGATAAACTAATTTTCTTGTGTTTTTAAATTAAAAAAACATTTTATTTGTCTCAACGCAAACCACCTTACTCACTAGGCAACATAACTATTGCGTCAACTCCGCTCCAAATTTGGTCTTCAGTTGCTGTTGCTCATCATGAACTCCTCCTCCAATGCGCCAGGCTGTAATAACGTTTTTTTGAACCGCAAAATCAGTTAAGTTTGTTACATATGGAGCTTGTGCTCCTTTAAAAAATTTTAATACAAAATTATGAAAAATTTTACGGCCAAAACTGTTTTAAAAAAATAAACCACCGATCAAAACTAAAGTGTTCACTCTTTTCGGGCAGTATCTGCAACAAAAAAACCTTTGTCGAAAAAACTATTTTGATGCTTCGTCCACTATCGAAGTTTTTTACCATAATTTTGAAGTTCGCGGTTATCATTTCATGGCCTAGCTGGTTTCTTCGAAGAAGATTCACCACCTTTCATCAAAATATATCAACAAAAACACTCACTTTTTGTTGATATAATTTGATGAAGGTTGGCGACGATTTGGTTGGAAAAAAAACAGATTTCAAAACCTGCTTACCTGGAAATTGTTTTGCTTTTATGAAAATTAAGTTATAAGTCAAGGAAGAAAACCAATCCGATAACTGAAGGAATTAAGGATCACTCTATGATATTTTTGACGTTAAGTTTTGTAATGATGGTTTGTTAAATATTTTTGCACTTTCTCCCAAAGGTAACTTAATTTTCTCTCGCTTTTTCACAACTCGATAAAGAAAATTAGGGGAAAATGTTTGTTGATTTTGCTGAAGTATCGCTAAAACGAACAAAAATGCTCGTTCAACAACTTTTTAAGTGTGCGCTCTTCAAAAAAATTTATTTTGAAAGAATAATTTTGAGGAAAAATAACTTTTATCCTTGAAACTATGTGATGATGAACAATTAATATGATGGAGCTTCATTCATGACAACTAACCTTTGCCACAAAGTGACAGAAGTGAAGAATAATTCAGTTACGTTTTTTATAGTTCTACTTTCTCAAGAACAAACCTCAATTTATGGGTTACTAACTGCATATTTAAGCCATCTTAAGTTTTGGTATGTAACAATTGCTCAGAACGGACCCTTCAGTTGCTGCGCAAGCCACTCAATGTTTCCCGGTCGAAAGTATCTGTCTATCGAAAAAATCCAAAAAACCACAGTTTTTCTTGTGATGGTGGGGTGTTGAATTGGTTTTAGAGAACTGATAGTTAATAAACTCTTATGTAGTTTTTTTTTCTGTTCCCGGGTCGATGTCCACGACTGAGTTCCAGACTTGAATAGCCGGTGCGACGTTAGTTTGCTGACTGAAATACGATAGAAGGGCAGAAACTTGTAATCAAGGAAAAATCGTAATGCAGTCGCGGTTTTTAGGAAACGAGTAGTGATAAATGAGAACTTAGTCGCGGCCTAGTATGGGAAAAAGTTGCAATAGTGTGGAAAAGATCCGCTATTTTCTGAAACCTAGTCAAACATTATTCGGAGGATTGGTGAGAGAAACCAGAAAACGGTTCTAAATTTCGTAAGTAGAAATTGAGCAAAAAATATATTTCCCGAAGGAAATTGTCTCCAAGGAGTTGGTCTCACGCTCATTTGCGATGTTGTAAGTTTATTTTTTTTTGGTATGTAATCAATCTTACTGCTGTTGATTATGCTGCTAGGGAAACAAAAAAACGCCCAGTACATCAAAAAAATATACAATTAATTCGATTAATCAGCATAACTTGAGCGCAAAATCATAAACTTCAAAGCTTTTGGAGTCAATTAGATTAATGTCACAGTATACTTCTTACTTTACGTATAATTAATAAAGTGCCTGAAGTAAAAACTTCTTATTAGTTTTGGTTTGGGGGAGAATGAAATTCAAGTGACAGATTTAAGTATTTAATGATAGAATGGACACGATACATAGATAAGTATTATCGAAGACTTATGCTTTTGCTCTGTAGGTTTTCTCAGGGTAAGATGATTCATTAAAATTGTTAATATGATGTCTGATGTTTTTGAAAATTGAATAATTACCATGAAATTCTAGTGCCGGAATTACTTAAAATTCATAACTAAATTTAAAAACTTTTGATGGATGAGTTTTTAAAGAATTTTGACAAAGCTTTCAATGAAAAAAGGCATTGCTTGGCCATTCAAACGACGTGGCTCAGAGAGTTATTCTGGTTGCCGAAGAACCTCTGTAAAGACCCCAATGAAATAGACTCAAAAATGTTCATTGAAAATTGAATCTTTCTTAACAAAAAACTCTCTAACAATTTATAAGCTTGTACACAAAACTGTTTGACAGAAAAGTCATTAATCTATTTGATACTTTTTTCAAATTTTGTTTTCAAATAAATGAAACGTAAGAGATAACCTAGCTGAGGGTCTACAACAACATGACTATCTCAATCAAGGCCTGAATTAAGACAAGAAAAGTTTGTTTTGGATGAGTTTCCGGCCACATACTCGTTTGGTCACAAGGTGATGCAAGATAAAGAACATACACATAGAGCAAAAACAGCAAACAGAAAAGAGAATTGGGAAAATTGAAAAACGCGACGTAAAAATACCGTACGGCTTGAATTTGGCTCTTACTTTTAGGGGTGGAAACGTAAAATTGTTCAATCCAATTTTGTCCAATTTTTAGCATTGAAAATGATATAATGATACACTGCTTTAACTGTTCTAACTGTTAATGCTATTGCCCAAAAGGTTTTGAAGTTTTTCAATCTTTAAAACACTACCTTTTCCTCTTTTTACGAATTTTTATATCAAAGCATAGTGGTTAGAAAAATCTGGGTTACTTGAAAGTCAGTTGCTATCTCTTTTCTTAAGCCCGATTGTTCAGTAAAAATCTACCACCATAGAATCTCATCATGCAAATAGCAAAATTCAAAAACAGATACTAAAAACTAGGTAGTTATAATTGTTCAAACTGACAAACTGACTAACTTCGTCCAAAAACAGAACTATGATTTTTTGTCGTCAAACCAAGAAAATAGTCTATGAAAATGATTATATAAGCCAGCATAAAACTCGTTCTAATTTTGCCAACTTGTCATAGATGCACATGTATATATACAAAAAGTTGGCATTAACAAACGCACGTTAATTCAAATTGAGAGTTTGACTATATAATACCATTAAAATAGTCTGAAACTGTACAAAAGTGTATATTACCATCATTAGTTTTCTCAAAATAATCAAATCGTTTTAAGAAACCGCAGCCAAATCAGTTTACTTTTCTGATTTAAAATGAAAGGCTGAAAACTGTTCAGTACAATACTTTAACGACAAATAAAAATGTGGTTATTTTTAAACATTAAAAGTTACCTATTTTTGCTTTTGGCTTTTCTAGCCAGAAAATCAGAGCAAACGGGCTCAAATCCGTCGTGTAATGTGACTGGATCACCTCACATAGAAAGTATATCAATTCAACTCGATCCATTGGGAGGCGATCAGGTTAGTTTGATCATCAACTGGAACTCATCTTCAACAAACTCAAGTGGCTCATTGTTTGGCACGGATTCAAACGTCACTGGTTACATTAATACAACTAATTCTACTTTCGAGAGAACGGGAAATTTAAATGACACGTATACTCTTCAAATAACTGAAAATGGTGGTCCATCGGAAAACTGCTCAATCCTTCTGGAAAATCCATACAACTTGAGTTGTTCTGTGGTCAACTCATCAAAATTCAATCTGTCCTTGCTATCCCCTAGCTTTGATTTGAACAACCACAGCTTCACGGATTTGATTGGTCGATCACCTCCTGATGGTTCTTCAAATGCGACTCAGACAGGCGTGATTGCCTTCGACGGTTTGTCAGCAGGTTATCAATTTGTGGTAAATTTGAATGTGACTGATAATTCGACCGGAGTACAGTATGTTATATATCACACTGACAACCAATGTTCGACCACGCCTGGAGATTGTAATGTCACTTCAAATGAAGACCTGGACTCGATTATCGTTACAAGAGAATCTAAATCCAGTGAAGTTCACAATATCAGAATGCAAATGACTTCTGTTGCGTCTCAATGTTGCCAGTACGCCAATGAAACTGTTAACAGTAGTTATTCACTGGAAGCTCGAAGCACAAACGAGTTTTACTCAGACGCAGATATTTTTTTTCAATGCGAAGCCAGAAATGACATTTTGGGTTTGAACAACAATGCAACTTGCGCGTCGAATGAAACATCTCTCGTAATAGAGCCAAAACCTGAATCAGGAATGACTACAATTTTTGCCAATATTTCGAAAGACGGAGAGAATACTGGACTGCAAAGCCAAACAGGGGGATCCTCGTTTCAGTTTCTTGACCTTGAGCCGGAAACTTCATTCGAAGTTGCACTCCACATGACCTCCAACACCACTGGAATTAATCATATTCTTCTGGTTCAATGCAACACTACTGCAGTTATTGCTCCTACGAATCTCAATTTTACTGATGTAACTAAGACTTCCTTCACTGTCACTTGGGATTACAGCGGAGGAGACGCGGACAACTTTGTCTTAATATGTATCACTCCGGGTTGTGTAGGAAACGACAATATTTCCGCTAATACCAGAAGTTACTCCGTTGAGAACCTAACTCCCAATGCCCAGTATCAAGTCGAGTTGAAAGCGGAAATTGGTGGATACGACTCAAGCTTAATCGATGGGAATCAATCCACTAATCCAGTTCCAGTACCAGAAGAGTTCATTAGTTCGACGAAAAACGAATCTTCAATCACGCTTGCTTGGAATACTTCAGATACTGACATTGAGACGTTTGAACTTTCCTGCCCGTCATCTGCTTCCAACTGTCCTTTGGACACAAATCCACTTGAAACTACAGGGTTGAATTATCAAGTTAATAATCTTGACGCAGGCCAACAATATTTTTTCAGAATACGAGCGAAGTTTGTAACACAGTTGCAAAACTTCTACTCGATCTACTCAGATGAATTTTCAGTTTTCACTTATGATGTCCCTGCAAGTTTGACAGTGGCCCCTAGTGAGCTGGGAACCTCATATAATATCAGCTGGACTTACTTAAACAGCGGAGGCGGAGAAGCCTTGCGATTCATTCTATCATGTGAACCAAATTGTGGAAGCGACAGAAATATTTCCACAGCGTTTAGAAGCGACATTTGGAATAATCTCAGTCGTGGCATCAACTACACTTTCAGTCTAAGAGCTGACTACAACAACCATATCACGGATGCAATAACTGCAATTGGCACACCTTCTGATCTTCCCATACCTTCGAATCTTGGCAGCGATGCTAAAAACTCATCAACGGTGAACTTAAAATGGGATTTTTCTTTGGAAAACAGCAACAATGTCTATTTCCAAGTCTCTTGTACAAATAATACAGTTTGTGACGCTAAGATTGTAACAGGCACTGAGTACGCGTACTCAGGCCTAACTCCAGGTCAGTTGTACACGTTTCAAGTGCAAACCAAGGTTGAAGATGATTTATCTGATCCGTCAAACACATTCATCGTTAGAACAAATTTGAACGCTCCAGACTTAAGCAACATTCAAGCAGATACCTCGAATGAAATACCCCTTCCAGTTATCTCATGTGATGATCAGGGTCAAATAGTTCAGGTAGTTTCGAACGCTGAAGTACATTGGGGTCAAAAAGATTCATCAGCCCCCTGCAATGACAGGAATTACAGGAACTCAGAAAACTTTACTGTTTCTCAGAACCCATGCCAGCAGTCCTTTACTTTCAATCCTACAACCGTGACTGGAATCAATTTTGGAGACGAAATTTGCCTGAAACTGATGCTGATGTCAAATCAAGGAGGTTATGAAGAACGCTCGGAAAGCATAGCGAATGTTTACCTCTACCCCGCGAAGGTGAGTGGGTTATCATGCAATAATTCGGTAAATCATAGCCTCACTTTTTCCTGGAATCGAGAAGGAACTGTTGATCATTTTTTGACAAAACTGGACAACCAAAATGAAAATCAAATTGCATCTGCAACCAAAACTTATCCTAATTTGGATCATGGAACCAAGTACACGCTATCAATTAGGGCGGTTTCAAACAATCTCAGAAGCAAAGCAGAGACTCTATCGTGCCGCACTAAGATTGATGTTCCCATGTACACCGTTGATGTTACAGCGGATTTCAAGGTCAGAATTCAAACAAACGTTCAAAGTTTCAATGACGAAATGATTATGAATCTCTATCTTATTGACGACCAGGATCTGACTTCATGTCAAAATTATACCAATCCGATCAACCAAAAAACGTATAGAAATATCTCAGACAATATAAGTTTTGAATTTAACTATGCCGTTGTCCCAGGAAGACCATATTGCACGAAAGTGTGGCTTCTAGCAAATAATCCTGACGAGGACAACTTTAAATACCAAATGATCATCATTCCGCTTAGTTTACAAATAAACAGTGTTGCTTCCACTTCAATTGTAGCCACTTTTGGAAATGAACCGACTTTCACTTATACAGCTTTGACTTACCGTGTGATATACTTTGAAGTTGAAGACAACTCGGAGCAAGTTATTCGTAGCTCTGCAACAACTTTTGGCCAGCACAGTATTAACGACTTAATACCAGGAGCAAGATCCCAAATGATAGTAACTTTGACCACAAGCACAGGAAAACAAGTGTCAGTTGAAAGCGAGATATTTCACACAATACCAGCTTTGCCGACTGTAGAAAATGCAGAGAGCAAATCAGACAGATGTTCATTCACACTTCGAGCTGACCAAATTGTGACCAGCTTCAAGGTAGATTTCAATGGTCAAGAGAGTCAAGATGAAGTTGCAACCGGTAGTGCATCGTTTATTTTTACTGAACTACAACCGCATCATAATTATTCGTTTTCGATATCATCAATTAGCAACTATAGTTCAAATGCTACTGAGAGCTCCGCAATAACACACAGGTGAGCTTCGTTTTTTCTTTCATAAATTATTTAAGGTGGCCAGTCAATAAGCAGAATGGTCTGAAAGCAGAATGGGGCCAAGAGCAGAAAAACAGAAAAAAAAATTTATAAGCTACTCAGTAAATTAAGTATAAGAATTGTCAATATTAACAAATAAACAAGTTTTTCATGCATATCTTGAGTAATTTAATCGAGATTTTAAAAAAAATCATTGAATTCATGCATTATTTTTTAATTTTCTTGGTATTATTGAAAATATTCTTATAATTGTTTCATTAATTAGCCCGTGTAAATCAATAAAAATTATATTTTTTCTGTTTTTCTGCTCCTAGATCATTCTGCTTATTGTTCTATTATTTAAATTAGTTTTTTTTTGCTAAATTTTTAATTGTCAAACGCTGCAATAGTTTTGGTTGTCAATTAATTATACACATTTAAAATCAATTAAAAATTGTGCAAAATTGTGGATTTTACGTTTCATCAACTCGATGATTCAATGGCAGCGTTTTTTCGAGGATCGACACTGAAAAAGATTGGGTTAAAAATTTCACATACGTGAAACAGGTGTGAGACAAAGCATGCGCCACCACATGTTGTGACGAACCCATTCATTGTTCGAAACCTGGAAACCGGTTCATTCCGTGTGACTTGGCGCCCGCCAGTTGTGACAAATGGCCCTCTCCGGGGATACATCATAACTGTTAACTGGAGCAGAGCTGATTCTGGATCGCGTCTGGATAACACTCAAACACAGATGTTCTCAGTGGGGAATGATGCCTCTGAGGTCCCTGTTTTCGTCCCCGAAGGATATCGAATTGGTAAAGTGTCGCAGTTATGTTTTCGAAAAATGTTCTATGTGTAATATTCTTTGAATAAGTTTTAGTTTGAAACATCAATTTAAAACAACAAAACTTGTCTTAAAAATTTGTCAACAAAACGTGCCGCAGGAATTCAATTCCAGTAAATTAGTATTGTCGGCGTTTAATGTCGGCTCGAAGTGTTAATTATGCTGTTTTAATTATGTTTTTACAGATGTTGAATATTACGCTTATAACGACGTGCCGGGTCTGAAAACATGGCAATGGGCCAACCGACCAATTGAAAGTGAGCCGGAAATAAACACCGAATACAAAAATACCGAAGATCTCGACTTTTTATCTTCACGTAATAAAACTTCGTTGACGCTGAAGTTCCCATGTGACCTTTTTCAATCTCCACCGAATAATCTCAGCCAACAAGACAACGCCGTGAACCCAGTCGAGTTTTTCGAAATTGCGGCCACAGAAAACGGAGTCGGACCTTACATTGCGAGTGATCAATTTTACCCCACCGATGAGTGCCCTAAAGTTCCGAGAATGGGACGCGAGCCAAGAAGTGCAGAGCAAGCTACGTGGGAGTTCACTTTGGGATCTAACGAAGGTTGTAATGACAACTCGACTGTCTACTGTAACAAAGAGTTGCAATCCGGAACGATGTATGAAATCTTTCTCAGAGCCTACGCAGATGAGAAGACTTTCAAAATATTCGAAGCTGGCTCATACAAGACGGCCGATGGAAACGTGAGTTTCAAAAAAATTATTATAAGAGTTCAAACCTTTTAAAATTAAACCATCATGTAGGTATTCAGAGTGTCCACTTCTGCATTAATTTCAAATGTTGATTTTTTTCTAGCAGTTCAGAGGAACGTGGTATTATGAAAACGTTTAAATTATCACTATGTCTTGTCTGTACGGTTCAGTACATGAGTGCCAAAAATAAAAAAAGAGTGTCACAATTTTTTTGTTAGAAAATGACTTTCACAAATGCCAAAAAGCAAAAGTCTTAAAGCAACTGTCTATATTAGCAGCAATCAGAATCAGAAGACAAAACATCCGAAGCAAGGAGAGAACATGAATAAAAACATGAAGCGTCACCATTTTTCGCTTAGTGCTATTTTCGGCACTCTTGCACTTCGGCACTCTTGGTCGCCTTTGTCTGTTTACACATTAACATGCCGCCCTCTCCCTCAAAAAAAATAGATAATAAATAAAGTATAAGTTTAAAAAGTACCGATGCTCATAGCGAGTGCTTATTTCAAGGTAGTGTCATCATAAGATTAACCAAACGGGACTGGGTCATGTGACTGAATGATCTTGTTCCCTGTATCCTACGACCTGGTTAAGTTTTAGGCACCAGATTTTGAGGGAAAAACAAGCGCTGAACTTGCATAATTTTAGTCAAATCCATCCAAAAATGGATCAAAACGTCTTTTTGGTTCAATTTTAAGAAATTCACCTGGACGAACGAACTTTTTGACATTTCAGGAGAGATCAGAAAATCAGTTTTAAGAAAACCACTTTCGAAAAAAAAAGAAAATCAGTTTAAAAAAATAAAATCAGTTTCAAAAAAAATCTACATGTTTAATGTGTCAATTTAAGGCCTGATGAGTGATCGAATAAATTACTCTCTTTTCTTTCTTTCATGAATTTCCAAGGAGTTCGTCTTTTGCAGGGTTTGACAGCGGGAGCAATTGTGGGCATACTGATTGCTTTGCTGCTTCTTCTGCTGATTGTCCTTCTAGTCACATTCTTCATATGGAGGAACGTTAACAAAAAGAAAGATGACACACATGATCCCAGTCTTGATCCCTTCTCTGTACCTAACCCTACTTGTCGTAGACTCAAACCGGATGAATTGCTGGTCAAATTCAGAAAACCGATTCAACTGGACCAGTTCAGAGACGAGTGTGAGCGACTGGCGAGTAATGACAACGCAGGTTTCGTCCGGGAGTTCCTCGAGGTTCAATACGAAATGAGAGAACGTGAGTGTTTGTTGTAATTCGTCACAATTTAAGACAAAATACGTTGATAAGAATGATGCAAAATAATGAATCAGGTACAAAAGTGCTATCGTCATGTATAACAATAACCACTGTAACTTTTCACGGCATTTTGGCTCATTGGTTCAAAAAACTTATGAAAAAAAAATTTTTTTTTCCGAAGCTTTTTAAGCCTTTTAAGAAATGTTATTTTTGTTTTTAACGTGTGTTGTATGAAAAGCTCAATGAGTTTGGAATTAAAAAGCATTACAGAAAGCGTTACCAAACTAAGCGTAATACAAAAACATTAACTTTGTTTCATCTTTTCTCATAGTCCGGTAATCTGGTTGTTGCTAAATTGGAGCAATTCATCTGCACGAAGGCATAGGGCAGCAAAACTTTGTTCAACTCATTGCGGAGAACCGCGGTTGTAGCTCTGCTTAAGAATACTGGGCATTTTTTCCGGTTTTTCCCCTGCTTGGGGACTTCAAGCAACGAGCGCGGAGCACGGTTGGCCTGGAACCCCCAACCTTTGTATTGAGAGTCGGAGACTTTGTCACTTGATGATCTAGTAAGAGTGTGCTTTTTTTCAGCTGGGATCCCCCGTCAGATTGGCATCTGGCCGGAGAATCAGAGCAAGAACCGCTACAAAGATATCGTGCCCTTCGACCCAAGGCTGGTCAGAATTGAAGGTACACCTGGAACTCTAAAGGAATCCATTCCTTCGTTTTTTCATGAAAATTGGCCTTTTGTTTCAAACAGATGAGATGGAAAAAATTGCGAATTTTAAATTCCAAAAAATGTATTTCATCAAGGATGTTTGAAACAGCAAATATTACATCCGAGGGATCGCACAAACTCATCTATTTAAATAAGGCCCTTCAAAAATCCAGCGGCAAAAGTTTTGGCATACATTATATGTTTTGAAATCTGTTAGCGATAACTTCGGAAAAAGTGGATGTTTTGTACACTGGCTGATCTAGAATTTTTTCGAAGAAGAATTTTAAAGAAAATTGAAAACTGTATCGACCTTTTTTAAGCTCAACCAAATTGATATCCAAGCACCCCCAAATCAAAATGAAGACACTATTTTAGCCAAATTTTCTGCACTGCACGCGAATTTTGAAAAACAGGGGAAGCGTTTTTAGGCACTTTTTGGATGATAATTGCGTTTTTTGGCGCGCGGTCCCATTTAACATTAGTATATTTTGGCGCCTTTTGAGTTTTTAGGGCCGGTCAGCAAGAGAAGATGTCCTCTTATAGTATTAAAAGGGGTCCATTCCTTCTAAAGGAATCCATTCCTTCGTTTTTTCATGAAATTTGGCCTTTTGTTTCAAACAGATGAGATGGAAAAAATTGCGAATTTTAAATTCCAAAAAATTGAGTTAGGACTTGGGTGTATAACTCATAGAGTAATTTCGGATAGGGTACACCGTCTGCTCGTCACGCTATCTTATTTTCGGCCGGATAGATTCGTGCAACTTCTTAGTCTAATACCGATCCTAATCTTACTCTTATACTATCTAGTCTCAGGTTGTTTAACTAGTCTCTGCTAGGCTCAATAGATCTAGGGTATACTGGTTTATTGCGGCTGCTGAAGTGCTCGGGAGAGTCCAACTAATTTCTAAGTTAAATTCAAATCTCTCTGGTGCTGAAATTACAAGTAACTTCAGCACTTACAAATAAGTGGGTTGTTAGTTAGATGGATCATGATTGGTTAATATTAAATACTTTATATTGGTAAAACATTTAATTTATCCAATCATAAAATATAGTTTAGATCAGGTTCCACCCATCCGGGTTTTACAGAGTTTTTTAGAATAGTTCTTCTGCAATTCGAAGGATGGATGATGGACGTTGGTATTGGGCGAACATCATATTTCTTCTGTTTCCTTTTTGTTAAGGAAGTTCCAGGAAGCTGGAGTTAGAGACATAAGACGTTGTGTTCTTCTTGTGACAACGACTAAGTCTTCGCAACAAACTCAAATCTGATTTCAGAATGGTTGGCTATGTCAGGTTTTTCTGTTCTTCGTGGAGAACTTCTTTTGTGTCTGATCTAGCTTGGGAATGGCGTGGAGATTGTGCGTGGAGGGGATGCCTGGTTACTCGGATCTGTACGTATACTTGAACATCGAGGTGGTCATTGGTCTAGTTCAATGAAGTCCTTTTCTGCGAAGTCAAGTCGTACTCTAAATCCTTTGAGTTGTGGTTGTGAGCGGCATATCGATTGTAGTTGGTCATTCTCTCTCGAGTGTAGTGGGGTCGTCTTGTCTTTTGATGTTCGTCCTTGGTGTTGTATTCTGATCTATATATTGCATCGTGTGATTTTACATTTTATAAAACTTTTATTAGTTTAATATTTTTTAATAATGATTTTAGTTAGTTGTTTTCACAAAAGCTTTTTGTTTTAGTTCGGTTATTTTGAAGAGTTACTCACCCTTGAGTAGCTCTTATTAAAAATAAGGGTGTGGTCACAAAGCGTGGATGTAGCGCGGTGGGTTAGGCCGGCTATAGAGCATGCTCAGGACGTCCTTCCTGGTGGGTTAGGCCAGGAGTGGGAGTATGATTTCATGCGGTTTTTGTGAGAGGTCCTTTTATGTGACAACGTTTTATGTTGGGTTTGTTGTGGTCTTACTTATGTCTTGTTGGTTATGTACTTTTTCCAAAAAGCAAATTGTTTGTGGTATGGGTTTGTCTTTCGACTTTTTTGTGTTTTATTATTTCTTTCTAAGACTTTGTAATAGTCTTCAAAAGAATAAATTATCCAGTTTTAAACTGGGTTAATCCGGTTTGGGTACCGTTGGTTTCCTTTTCTAAGTCATGCTGTTATTCTATGATTTGTGGTGTTTAGTGAGCTGCGTTGGTTAGTTTTGTTTAGTATATGATTCCTTTCCAACCGGGTTAAAGGAAAATTTGAAACATGTTATTTTATGTTAGAGTTGTTAAGTGTGAAAACTTGAAACTGAAATTCATTATTTTAAACAATTCTTCGTGGGCGAGCTGTGCGAGTGTGGATAGAATTTCTGTGCGAATGAATGAAAATATCAAAAGGTTAGTACTGCATTTGCATTTATTTAATTTACTACATAGAATTTAGAAATTTACTGCTAGTCATGGGGGAATATTAAGATACAAATTTTCATCATAATTAGATTTACTGCTTTGGGGGAAAATATTATAGATGAATTTACTGCATTGATATTAAATTTAGAAATTTATCAGTGTAAGAGATTAATAGAATTTTAAAATTGTTTGATGAAAATTGTGATTTTTATTGTTTCTTTTGTGGTTTTTGTAGGTGATTGTCGGATGAAAGCTAAAAATCTAAGGAAAACATGAATAAAGAATGGTGAGTTTTTAATACTGTAATTAGTTAGTAATATTTACTTAATTCATACTTACCTGTTAGTCGTCGGGGAAAAAACCGTGGGGGAAGATGTCGTGAATTAGTTCTGAAGTTGTTAGTAGTTTAGCTAAAATGCGGATGATATTTTTAGTCTGAAGCAGTGGCCAAAGCAATTGAAGTGCCTTAATAGTGGTTAGTTCTTCAGTGCCTACTGCAAACTCATAAGGTGTGTTTTGGATTAAGTTATATAATTTGTGATTAAATTTAGTGTTGTGGATGAATTCTAAAATTGGGATTTCTATAGGCTGTACAAACTCGTGCGGGATAAGGAAGGGTCGGGATTCTTCGGCGTTGAAGGTCTTGGTGATGGGGCAGAAAATGTACATTTGGGTTATGGGGTCATAGTTACGAAGAATACCATGGAGGTTAGTGTCTTTAATACAATATGTGAAATTTAGGAAATACGGTGAAGTGTATTTTGAATTGATGAATTGAAAACGATGGTGTGGTTGTCTAGAGGGTGTGTGGAGGTCAAAGTGATTTTGGATGAAACGATAGTAACTGTATGTATGTGTTTGTTTAGTGCGCAACATAATATCATGTGAGCAGTGCAAATCTCTTTCGTGTGGTGGAAATGAAAGGTTAGTGAAAAGATTTGGAAGCGTTCTTTAAAACTTTCGTATGCTTGTGTGCTTGTTAGTGCTTCTGAAATAATGTGATCAAACTTTCGGTCGAAGATGTTTAGTGTAAATACATATGGTGTCTTGATGAAAAATTTCTCGGTGATTTGTGGATTAGCGAAGCGATCGTCGTCTAAGAATTGATCTTGGTTAGGTCTGATGATGTTGTGATCGTAGTATTCTAGTGTATATTCATTAGCTCTTGGTGCAGTGTGTATTTTTAGTGATTTTTTATATCCAACGTAAGTAAACTGTCTAGCGGTTAGTGGTGTAGTTAGTCGATATAGCATGTCTTTGTTTCGTTCTATATCGATGGAAGTGCTGGATAAAGGTAAGCAAAGAGGGTTAGTGAAATGATAGTATGAGGTCCAAGAGAGAGTGGGCATTAAAACGTATTCATCTACATAGTTGCGTGTTTCGTTAGCGTCGTGAGGGGTGTTTAAGGTGTATTGTGGAAATGAGGGTAAAGTGATAGCTAAAAATTCTTTAGTGTTAGTATGCTGGGGGTGGTTGATGTATTCACGGGCTGTTCCTGGTTTTGTTGGGAAAGGATGGTTGGGGAACTTTCTTTTAAAAGTGCGGTAAGCTCTATTAGTGTTGAGTGAAGATATAGTGGATGTGGATGATGGTGTTAATGATTCAGTATAATTTGAAGAGGGTGTAGGGGGATTGGAGGAATTTGTAGTGGAGGAGATCTGGTTTATGGTCGGGGTGTTAAGGTGGTAGGGTTGTTGTTGGAGGGTAATAAAATTATCTAGCTCTGGGGAGATTCGGGGGGTGTCTGGAGAATGAGAGGAATGGTCAGAATGGTATGAGGAGTAGGTTGGGGTAACTTGGGAAGCATAAGAAGGTGTGGGGGTGATTGGGTCAGGGTTATTTGACAATATGGGTTGAAAAGGAGGTTGAGAAAAATTAGAAGGGTTATGAAAATTATTGGATGGTGAGGGTTCTGAGTCGGCAAATTCATCGGGGTTTCAATATTCGGGTTATTTAGCTGTGAGATGGAGTATAAAACTGAAATATGTGAGTTAGTGTCGGAATTCATGCCTGATGTTACATTGCTAGATGGAAAATCGGGTGGCGGAAAAGCAAAAAGTGGTATTATTGGGATTGGGGAGGTAAGATTGGTTGGATGGGAATTTGATCGGTGTAGTGATCCAAGTTGGCGGCTCATCGTGGGCTAAAAAAATTATTATTTTGAGATTGAAAAGCGGTGGTATGGGGCTGTTCAATAATTTGTTCATAAGTATTATCATCTTGTGATTGATGTGTCATTATATGTTGGACGGGACTTTGCGATGTATTGAGTCGAAAATTTGGATTATGTGTGATTGCTAAATTTCGAAAATTTCGTGGGGCTAGGGATAGTGGATGGTTATGTGGTAGGGGTGGTAATTGTGGTGCCGTTGGCTGTGTGTCGACATTGTTATGTTCTTCGTCGTATGTATTTTGTCGTGTTGCTATTTTTGTGTTATATTCTTTTATTTGTGCGTCTAAAAGAATTTTGTTTATAGATGTAGAGAAAATTCCGAAAAATCCTGCAAAGAGTATGCGTGCTACGCTTGCTTGTCTGTTTACTTGTGTGTGTATAGCACATGTGTTGTAGATTCCTTTCAAAAGTGAGAAAAGAAATCCAATAAAGTTAAACATTGCGTATAAAATAGTC